CGTGAAAAACGTCAGGCTAGCCCGACGAAACCCGACCCATATACTTCTCACGGATAACTAGAAGAACAAGAGTGTAGACATTTGGGTCTGACACAAAGATTAAAGAAGCCCACGATTCAGACAAAGAGGTGGAACACATCTAATAAAGTTGACACCCCCTATCTTAGGTAAACATTCGTGTTAAAAAAACACCCATAGGAAAAAATGAAAGCAAAAACCTATAGGCAGATGATGAAGTCTGGTTTTCTCAGAACGAACCAGTCGGACGACCATGGGGTTCGGGGTTCGAAAATATGACTAAGCTACAAAAAAAAACATATAGCAGTAAATGCTTATCTCGCTGTTGAGCATTTCAAAAAACACATGCGGAATCGGTTGTGGCGTGTGCACTGGGTGACCTCTTTCTCGTGGGCCACGGGGATTCACCGTCTTCTTAATATAATTCGCCAACGGGAAGGGCCACTCTCCAAGATCCAGTACTGCTGCGCTGGAAGTCATCATAAATTGGTGGCATGCTTCGGCCAGGCACGTCTTGTGCTCAGACAACAAATAAAACAATGGTCTCTCTCTGTCTCCCTTAGGAAGCAATTCAACGTATGTGGGTTCTTTACCCGCGGCAGATTGGCTCATGAGGGCTTGAGACGGCGCCCCTGTAGTCGCATACATTGTCGAGGATAAGAAAGCATACAAGCGATGGGGGCAATTTGTGACAGCCCAGTCTCTATCAATGGACCAGGCGGCCTAACTAGCTGATCTTAATATCGATAGGTCCAAGTGAACAACGCAACGTACAAGTATGTGTGGCTGACTATGCAATGATCTTTGTAGGATACACGCCTAGGTGGACAACGTTATCAATTAGCGAAATAAGAGCAGAGGGGTACGTAGTGGCGGCGTTGGAGAAACGGCCGAGGACAACACATCATTGCTTGCCAAAGTCGTAACTCATGAAATTGAATGAATGGGGAGGAGACAGACCCTGCAGTTCCAAAGAGTTCCGATCTTCGGGAGTTGGGCTGCAGACGTTGGGGATACACAGCCAGGGGAAGCGCCTCCGAAACGGGTGTTAGCACCGGATCAAGACCAGCTCCAGCTAAGGACAGGGTGCTGTCTGAACGCCGGAAGAAGGCATCGGTCCTTTGGGCCAATGGACCTGGGAAGTCTGCGGTCTGTGTATTGTCAGCCCTCCAATTCTTTTCATCGACATCTGTACAC